AATTTTGAATCAAATAGACATTATTTTAGGATGTGATCCTAAGCGTATATCCAAAAGCCTTGGTTTGTAATTTTTGCTGTTGTTTTCAGGTAGCAGGGACAGAAATAGTTTTATTTATTTATTTTTTTAATCCCTAAATATAGTGATCTTAATCCTGCCTTTTGCAAATCAAAGCTTGCTGCCCTGGCATAGCAAGCATTTCTGAAACTGCACAGTGTTCTGTGGCAGGCATGACTGTATCCAATGCCAGGTTCTCCAGATAAACATTATTTTCCACAATGGGCAAGGAGGGGGTTGAGATATTTGTAATTGCTCTGGGAATTTCAGTGGCTGTGGCCATAAATGGTGATGGTGAAGTTTCAGAGACAGAAAGGAAGGGGTTGAATTCATATAAGACCCTTGAGGAATGTCTGGACCTACAGCCCTTGGAAACTGATTTCATCTTCCAATAAACTTTTAAGCTCTCTTGGCATGCTCTTGAGTATATTTTTCTTTATCACTCTTCACGGCTGATCCAACCAGAAATGGTGTTTGTATCACTATGTGGAGGTCAGGAATTATCAACAAGCAGTTCTATTGGGGGATAAATCAGTAACGACAGAGTGCAAAGGCAGATAGCAAATCTATGTAAATTAGGAGTAGCGACCAGTTTCCATGTTCCTGTTGATTGACTGGTTGATTGAGTTAGCTAGTTTTAGCTCCTGTTTATTGAGCCTGTACCATATGCCAGAGACAGAGTCTCACTTTTAACATTACTTTTAAATCACATGCCCAGGTGATGACAAAAGACTGTATTCATCCCAGTTTAGAGATGAGAGTAATTGAAGCCTGAAGAGGGGAGGTAACTGACTCTCCCAACTCACAGACATGTTTAGGAGCTGGGATTTGCCAACTACACTCTTCATGGCCTATCGTCTCCTGTTCTTAGACACCATGCATAGGAGCTTCTGGCAAAATGTGCTTCTGTTGCCTGGGAGGAACATTGTTATCATCCATACACATATTAAAAAAAAAAAATCTCTGGGAAGAGGGTCATGGCCAGTTCACTTCACTGAAAGTGAGGAGGGAGGATATGGTGAGCATAGGTGTGGGGCCTGCCCTGGGGTTTAGGGCCCATTGTGGGCACAGAAATGGAGGTAGTGATGGGGAAAGGGAGTAGGGGCTGGGGACAGTGTCACTCAAACCACAGGAGAGAGAATTTTTGCAGTGTTGGAGGAGGCTGTGGGCCTCTTTTAAGTGCTGTGGGCCCTTGGCAGGTCACAAGCCATTTCCATATTTAAGAGGAAGCTAAGAGGAAAGTGGGAAATTGTCTTCAACTGCAGAGCCTAGTACTTATCTTAAAAACCAAACAAAAACAGAAAAACAACTTTGCATTGTTTTTTGGCTGATAAAAATTCAGATAGTTTTTCCAATGTTAAAAATTCCCCTAATATGTTAACACCTTTTTGGTTTCTCTTGAAGTTTTGCATTCTTTTCATACATTTGCTCCGTGGCCTTTTTAAACTTTATTACCTGGCCTTCAATTCTTAAGATGAGCTTTCTAGATTTTCATTAACTCAGCAGTTTTCATTCATTTCCAGTGACCAAATCTAGTTAAGCCTTATATGGACCATTCTGTAAGGTCCTTATAATCGTCACCAACAACTAATTTCCAATCGATTACATGTTTGAAATGTATTCTCAACCTCTAAGGAGATTTTTAGACTATTCCCCCTCAAGTGCTCTTTTCCATAAAATTTTAATATTGGGTGTACTGTATATTTGTTTAAGAACTATGGGCCCTTGGCAGGTCACAAGCCATTTCCATATTTAAGATCCTCACCCTTTTGCCCAAAAAAATTATTGCTGAGTGTTGTCATCCCCATAGAAAACGCATGCCTTAGAACTCTCAAACAATGATTGTGTTACCATTGTTTAGTCACTCAGTCGTGTTTGACTCTGTGACCCCATGGATGGCAGCACGCCAGGCTTCCCTGTCCTTCACCATCTCCCAGAGTTTGCTCAGACTCATGTCCATTGAGTCTGTGCTTGTTCTCTAACCATCTCATCCTTTCCCAGCATCATGGTCTTTTCCAGTGAGTTGGCTCTTCACATCAGATCGCCAAAGTACTGGAACTTCAGCTTTAGCATCAGTCCTTCCAATGAAGATTCAGAGTTGATTTCCTTTAGCATTGACTGGTTTGATCTTGCAGCCCCAGGGACTCTCAAGAGTCTTCTCCAACAACACAGTTCAAAAGTATCAGTTCTCTAGAGCTCAACCTTCTTTATGATCCAATTCACATCCATACGTGACTACTGGAAAAACCATATCTGTGACTATACTTTATCAGCAAAGTGATGTTTCTGCTTTTTAATACACTGTCTAGGTTTGTGATAGCTTTTCTTCCAAGGAGCAAATGTCTTTCAATTTCACGACTGCAGTTACTGTCCACAGTGAATTTGGAGCCCAAGAAATTAAAATCTGTCACTGTTTCCACTTTTTCCCCTTCTATTTGCCATGAAGTGATGGGACCAGATGCCATGTTCTTCATTTTTTGAATGTTGAGTTTTAAGCCAGCTTTTTCACTTTCACTCTTATTAAGAGTCTCTTTAGTTCCTCTTTGCTTTCTGCCACTAGAATGGTATCATCTGCATGACTGAGGTTGTTGATATTCCTCCTGGCAATCTAGTTCAAAACTGGTAAATGAGTCCGTCAGGATGGCATATTGTCACCCTGCTTCTTTAACTTATATACAGGGTACATCATGCAAAATGCCAGGCTGGATGAATCACAAGCTGGAATCAGGATTGCCAGAAGAAATGATTGTGGCCTTTCCCATATATTTGCCTTTGCATCTGCACAGTTAATATTTATTCTCTTACCACCTCCCTTCCCTGAAGGACGGGAAATGGACCTGTACTGGCCCTATCACAGCCAGAAACTCCAGAAGAGTGAGCTTATGATCTCTCTAACACAAATAGTAATACTCCAAGATACAAATGCCAGCATCAGTTGCTGGAAGTGAAATGCACACGTCAGTAGTGTCTAATTGAAAATAAAAATAGAATGTTTGAAAAATCTTTTCCTATAAACTTTAAGGAGGAGAGCGGGGGTTAAAGTATCTCCTTGACAAGTGTAGAATAAAGATCAAGAATGTGGTTTAAGGCCCCTCTCTACCACTGTGAGTTAAGCGAAATCAGTCGCCTAATGTGGTTTTCCTCCTGTGCTTTTCTGTGTTCAGCGCTTCTATGCCTCCTATGTCTATTTCAGGAAGGACATTGTCTGGAAACACTAAGCGTATGGGTTGTCATGTATTCATTTTCTAGGGCTGCCATAACAAAGGACCACAGCCAGAGTGGCTTAAACAAGAGGGATTTATTTTCTCACGGTTCTAGAAGCTGGCATTCTGAAGTCCAGCAGTCAGGGGTCTGATTTCTTCAGAGGCCTCTCCCCCTGGCTTATAGATGGCTGCGTTTCCCCTGTGCCTTCCCGTGGTCTCCTGTGTGTGCGCGCGTGCGTGCGCGCGTGTGTGTGTGTGTGAGACAGTCTCTTCTTTTTGTAAGGAGAGCAGTCATGTTGGATTTACTTACCCAATTGACCTCCTTTTAACTCCATTACCTCTTTAAAGACCCCATCTCCAAATAGCAGTCACATTCTGAGGTACAAGGGGGTTAGAACTTCAATATACCAACTTGCTTCAGTCCATAGCATCCTATAAGAAGGGGATGCAAGAAGCCTACGAGAGCTACAAATGCAGATTTTAAATAAGATATATGTGTTCAGATCTTCACTATGTGTTTTACTAGCTGTGAGTCTTTTAGCAACTCACTTAACGTCTCTGAACTTCAGTTCTCTTTAAAAGTATAATAATTATCCCTGTCCCGAAGGATCAATGTGAGAATTGTGTCTCATTAATTAGTAATAAATGTAACTCGTAAGCCTGTATTTGTGTCTAGGAGAGCATGTGACTTGTAATTGCTTTTCCTCTTGAATATGGATTGAGACTTCAATGCATTGGGAATAATAAGACTAGCAAGTCAGTTAATACTATTAACATCAGGAACGAGCATTTATTGAACAACTGCTACATTTTGAATACTCATGCACAAAGTAGGACAAAAGTTTGGTTTCTAGACAAGAGCTATAGATTAATGATTGATTGGTTGATCTAACAAGTATTTATTGTGCACGTAGTATGTACCGGGTACAGAAAGGAGTCTTCTCATTTACTATCTAGCAAGGGCCCTTCTCACTGACCATGCCCACAGTCCCTTATATTTCTTGCAGCAGCAGATTCCCCGTCTTTGGGGAATTTCTGCAGGATCCAATAGGAAAAAAAATTTTTTTCTCAAATTGAATTACTACTGTGGCAATCAGAAATTTTGTGTTCTCTTCAGATACAGCCTCACCTGTGTCCAGAGGCTGTCTTGTAGTGTCTGTCTGCTGGTCCACATTACTAATTCAGCTAATTGCAGCAATTACATGAAGAAATCGCTGATGGCGAGAGAAGTCATTATGCTATTCCCGAACAGACTGCCTTCCACGGCGTTCATTAATTATGCCAGCCTATAGATTCGCGACCATCAAATCATACACTTGAGGCTGCACACCATATGCACTGAAACTCTCTCCAAGCTGCTGAGTGTTTCTGTGCTGGCTTGCTCTCTTGTATTGCCACCATCTGCAATAGCCTTTCTCCTGCCCTTCTGATTCTCAAAACTGAAAGTAAAGTAAGGATAGAGTCAGGCTACAAATGTGACCTACAGGGATGGGATAGGCTTGAGCCTCCTGGAACCACCTTGGGTTACTCAGCTTCCCATGAGACCCACCCAGAGTGTCTGGACCCAGAGCCATTCGCAGCTACACAGGAGTTAAAATTCTCTACCCTTCTTTAGAGAAGAGAGACAGTAATGATGATGGAGGCAGGACACAATGATAAGTCTTTGGTACTTCTGTTCATTGGTTTCCTTATCTCTCTCTCTCTTCCCCCATCTCATTATTTTTTCTTTGACATGCACAGCCAACATCAGATGACCTTGTTTCATCTGCTGAATGTTCAAGCGATGACGAAGACTTCGTTGAATGTGAGCCGAGTACAGGTAGGTTAGGTCAGTCTTGTTTTGCTTGCTTTATTTTTTCATTTGCAAAAACCAATGCATACATATATGTGAATATACATGTGTTTTATAAATATTATAGTGTGTTAGTGTGTGTATTTCCTATATCTATATATGTATACATATACATATATAAATATCACTGTATAGTCGAAAGCATCAAATCCCATGGAAGGAGCCATAAGACCCCGGGGAAATTTAAAGTCAGTTCCTTGGCTAGCTAAAGAAAACTCAATAGGACATAACACTGAGCAATTAGACACCCAGATTAACCACCAGAAGAAACAGGAAATGTATAGCAGCCAGTGGCAGCTATGAAATTGACAGGGGGTGAGAGCATGAAGACTTCTATACTGGATTGACATAAAAAAAAATAAAATATGAAGCCAAAGTGGAGCCATAAAAGTCATTTAATTCTCATGACTGTTCTGACTCTTAAGTGGCAAACAAAACAGAACCAAAACCAAACAACCAAAAAAAAAAAATTTTTTTTCCATGGGATTTCAACAGCAGTTAACATGGTATTATATTTATACTAATTTTGTTCATTGTGTGTTTAGAGAATTTGTGCAGCAGTGTAGCATAGTAAATACAAAATTAGTACAGAACCATGCCGTGTCAACAGCTGTGATGCTTCAAAATGTATCTACTGTGCTGAAGTTGAAAGGACTTTGGCAATTAGCAGCTTCAGTGTGTTCCCCATTTGCACCCAGATACATTTCAATGTTTTATGGTCTTTCTTTATAGTGAGCTATATACGATATAATGTCCAGCAGGCAACTGCAGTCCCTAATTATTTCCTATCAACTTTCCCAAGTCGTCTGTTTTGAGACTTGCTATAAGTTAAAAATTTACATTTATATATATAATAGAGAACAGATATCATTGAATTTCTGTGTATGTTTAATAGCATTTCAAAACTGGAGTTGGGTTAGGATCTTATTTCTTCAAAGGCTAAGAGAAATAAATAGAATTTTCTAGTTGATTGTTTGGGTTATTTTATTTTTATTTTCCTTTTCTTTAAAAGAAAAGGAGAGCCGTTAAACATTTTGCTTTGTTAATTCTAGAGAAATTTGAGATTCATGAAAAAATATTAGTATAACAAAAGTAAAATCTTCCATTTGTTATCCTAAAATGATTTGCAGATTTTGTAGAAGCCTGACTGCTTGGTGTCTTGCAAGTGGCTTTGGATCCAGGAAGTTCTCTGGGTTTTTGTTCTTAGCATAGGGACAAAGCAGTGATATGTAGGTCCTTTTCTTTCTGGAGTGTATTCTGTTTCTTTGGAAGCTCAGTTGTGTGGGAGGAAAGTAAGTATGACCTGGTTAGTCAGATTTTTTTTTCAGACTTTGAGTCATAATATTGTATTAAGTGAGGTTTTAACTCTAAAGGGAGGATGCATCCAATCCATACCAGAACAGATTTTCTTTCATTCATTTAATAAATATTTCTGAGCCCTCAGGCAGGATACAGTGCATCTCCAGATTTGACTCCTTCCTGTCCTAAGGGTTTTCACAAATGAGCTGTTGGAAAATAGAATATAGAGCTTTACTATCTAAACTACCTCTCCCGCAGAATTCAGTTCAACAAATATTTTTTGAGGGTCCCTGGTGTATGCCAGGTATGTGTGAGATATTAAGAATTTAGCTATGAATATGGCATGCTTTCCAAGATGTATGTTAAATTAATTGATCGGGGCCAATAATTTAAGATACTTAGACTTTAATTAGGATTCCCTATTTACCCTTTATCTGGTTTTCTTGCTTTCACAGCAGTGATACCTATATATATATATATGCAACAATGTTTATCAGATCTTTAAATTGTAAGCCTTCTTATAAAATCTAGACTTGATCATTCTGAATCATCATGCCTGTCTTCCCCTGCTACCTCCACACCCCCACAATACATACACACAACAGACATCTCCATAGCAACTCCCATCAGAAGACAGAGGGCTTTTCTAGATCTCTGATTCATGAGATCTGCAGCTCCCCAGGTTGTGCGTATACGTTACCATTTGGTATCAAACATAGACAGGCCAAAACCTGAAAAGCCCCAGACTAAGTCCGTTTGCTTTTTTAGTGGCTGTGCAGGTGTTTCATCTGATTCAAAAGCAGAGGACAGAAATTCAATACCAGCATTTCTTGAGTGATATAATTACACGGGGCAGGTAGTGGAATAAAAACAATTTTTAAAACAATCTGTTGTGTTCTGCAAGGGAGGATGGAATGGAATATATAAATAAACCAGGTGACAGAGAGCCCATCCCAAATGAGTTAACATACCAGCTACGAGACGTGTTAATCCCCTTTGCCCAGGATTATTTAACTGATCACAGTTGAAGAGTGAACATTTCTTCTTTCTAAAGTTAACTCCATAAAGTATTCCTGGTAAGGGATTCAGATGCACAGGGGAAAAGTCAGCGGCATATTTAATGCAAGGAGGAGATAGATATTCCTGTTGATGCAGAGGCTTTGCCTTGGGGGCCTGATTTATACTGATGAAGATTACATGCATAGAGCTATGAAGTTCTTTTTTGCATTGTATGAGAAATATCTCTATAGCCTTCAGATTTTCCAGAAATAATGCAGATTAAAAATCAGAAGCATTCAAACCAGTTGTTTCCAAAGCTAGATTTTGTACTGCCTGAAGAGAAGTCTTCCATTGCCCATGCAACTGTAGATAATGGTGACTTATATATAATTTTGACATAAATTGCTAGCCCTGAGATTCTATGTGAATACTGCGATTAAAATTCTAGTTTTGAACCTTCTTATTCACTACCTCAGTTTCTAAAATTTTTTTCTCTTCTAGACCTGATGTTTACTGTAAATACACTAACTTTGGCTAATCTTGTATCATACTTGAAATTACCTTATCTTCTCTCACTATGTTAGCAAATTTATAACTTTCTAGGCTCTCTCAGTTATAAGGCATTTCACTTTTGCAAGGTCTTTCCTGATTAATTTAGGTCCATTAGATGTTCTTGCTTTTCATAATTTGGGCAGTCTAGTATATGTTATATTCAACAACTTTTGTTTTCATATGGGCATCAAATTTTAAATGAAATGATTTTTCATATTTAATTTTATTTAAATCGAAATGGACTTTATTGCTGCTGGTTTTGAGTCAGATGTAAGCAAATGACTTGTATACTGACAACCCACTTTGGCATTTAGGGATCACCCTGGTTTGGTGTAGCATAGTCATATCATGTTTAGGGACCACTTACATTTTTTTAGCTTGGCTGATGATAGTCTGGAAACCTCATAAATCCATTAGATCTCAAATTTTCTCTATATATGTTTGCTGGAACATATGTAAATGAGTTTTTTAAAAAGGCTAAATCACGAGAGCAAGGCACAGAATGAAAGCTTAATTAGTATTTGCTGACTGAATTTATGTGATTCTCAAAATACCTCATAATCTTAAATTAAAATTGGAGATTTTCCATATCTCTCACTTCATCTCCCTTTAAACAATGAAATAAAACCTGTTGAATTGTTTAAAATATATGATTTCATACAAGTAAGTATCACCCTAACAAAATCCACATTTCTTTTAGAAAAAAATTATTCTCTACCGCATCCCTTCTTTTGCTGAGAATTAGATCATTTTATAGTGAGTTGCAGGGAAAATTGCATTTTCTGAACATTTGCTTTGAGAACGCAGAATTGAAATTGTGAACTATAAAATAATAATGAGTCCATCTGTAGCAATAAAAATATTCAGAAGAATATTTGAATAGCTATTTAAGTACCTAAAGTTGAGGATCAGGATTTTATCTCTCCAAATTTGTAAACATTAATTGTGTCCCCTACAAAAGAAATATTTAATAGTTCAGATTTGTGTCTTTGCACATAAATGCCCCTCCTCCCAACTATAGTTCTATTGATATTAAATTGTGCAGTAAATGCATGTTTCACTGTTGATTACCTCTTTGTAATCAACAACAACAGCAGCAGCAACAAAATAAACAAGCTGGAGAGGATTCAAATAACTGAGAATTCAAATAGCTGGGAAATGGGATTCTCTCATGTGATTGTGGAAGTCAAATAAAAATTAAGATCTTTAGTAGGATTGCCTCCATGATCTAAAATATGGGAATGAATTCTAAAATTCAAAGTGATGAAATCCACTTTTCATTCCTTCTCTCTCCCTCCCCCAATTCCTATGCCCAGTGTCTCCATCTTTAGGAAAAAAATAAAAAACCATCAAAACGAATGTATTGTCAGATTGGCTTTTGCATAATTAAAAACTACCAATTGTCCGAATTTTTTGTCTTATGGTCTTAAGATTGGAAAAATCCTGGGAGCAGGGTTTATAGAGCAGAGGAAAAAAAATGAAAAGAAATGCCTTTTACACCTGAGCGGTGGGTATGGCAGTAATTAACAACTATATTGATTCATCCAGCCATTACCCAGGGATACATGTTTCTAGTTGTCAATTAGCCGGGTTTCTTGCCTCCACTTATCTTAAACGTCCTTTGATCACATCTTAAGGGACCAACACTCCCACCAGAGGGCAGACAGTAACAGGAAGTGAAGATGAAACACATTCATCCATCAACAGGACTGTGCTAAACAACTTCCATAGTGGTGGGATTGACGGAGATGTTTAAACTAATGACAGTAATCTGAGATCACAAAATAATTACTATTCCCAGAGTGATGCTCAGATGTACTTTTACGCCTCAACTCTACAATCCTCACATTTGCATTTGGTGTTATTGCTTTGTTCCTCTTTGTTAGTCACACTATAATAGCCAACCTATTATAGGGAAATTTAAATTTGGCAAAACACCAAGAATTTGCCCCTGTTTATGTTCTCCAGGTGGAACTGGGTTCTTAGTCTTTATCAGTTTGAGGTGCTTCAGTAAACTATTTATAATATGAAAATCTGGCACTGAGTTAAAAGCTCACCACATCCTTAGAGTTTTTATTTGCTGGGACGTTGTGGAAAGTACAACTGAAGTGTTAAGA